AAAAGAGTTGAACTATTGCTTTAAGTAAAATACCATCAGTGTGAATGTACTAGTCGAACACAAGTTGTAACAGAACAATGTTCCTTTTAAAACTGTTAAATAAGGAAACTGGGACCCAGAAGCGTGGCTACTAATAAAAATGTGGAAGGCAGAAGTGTAAACGTATGTAATGAGAAGAGATGCAGGAAGTGTTGACGCTCAGCCAGTTTGTGGGCTGGTCTGGTCTGGGCCTGAGGCTGAGTCAGAGAGTGGGTGTCCAGCGGTCAGGGGAGCCATCGGGAGTTCTTCTAAAGCTTGTGTGCGTCCATGCATGCGAGTAAATCTTATTACTCCTCCAAATGGATTCAGCAAAATGCATCACTCTGCTAGAGGCTATGAGTTTTTATGATTTCCTGCCTGTGTGTGTGCTTTTTAAAAATATTTAATTCTACGTAAGCCGGAGCTTGAGTTACTGCTGAGCAATTCGCCCACCACTGAGCTGTTCTTTCACTCTGCCCCCCGCCCCCCCCGCTAGTTTTATCCTCCTGTCTTTTCTTCTTCATCTCTCTCTTTCCTGTTGCTTCCATTTCCTCTCTCTGCTGCTCACACATTATTTTTATGTTCTGCTTTTTCACTCTAGCTGTGATGATTACGGCTGGAGATCTTTTTTTTTTTTTTGTCCCAGCTGGTCTCAGTTTCCATCTTGGGCAGGTCACACTCTCCCAGCTCTTGTCACAGGCTGTCTACAGCTCCAAGAAACAAGCATGCTAAATGATTCCCGGCAAGAGGCTTTTGTTTGAGATGGGGATGGAAAAAGACAAAAGAAAATAGAGGGTTTATGTAACCATTCAGCTGCACAATTGACTCACTCGCTGACATGCTGGCTTCTTGGGTAAACACAGACCTTTCATTTCTTACAAGACCTCCACTGACCTTGTGGGTTTTGCACAGATGAAGGAGGGAGGTTTTATGTAGCTGCGCATCGCATTGAGCTCAATCCAGTAATGATGAAATTATTTTGAGTGTGTGTCCACAATTAAAGTACTCTGCATGCCTCACTGTGAGTAACTCATTAGTATCATTCTGCTATAAGACAACGTGAGGTGAGAGGATGGTGCAGGATCATGACTGCATTAATGCAGCTGATGGAGGAAGCAATTAATCTCATAATGACACTGACAAATGATCATTGTAATACGATCAGAATTGAGGCTAATCCTGTTTCAGAGATTTGGCTCAGTCCAATCACATCGTTTATTGTTATAATTACGTTATCATTACCAATAGCACTATGATATAAAATCAGGACTATGTTGCAAAGTAATACTTGAAAAGTGGTGAAATCTATGGCCTGTACAGTGCAATGTTAATATTTAACATTTTCATTTGATTCAAACAATTAAAAAAAAAATAAAAAATCAGGCAGACACAATTACCACTGGCATGATGTAATATGTGCAGAATGTGGTTTGAGGTTGTTTTGCTACAAAAAACTAACTGTGACTGTTAAATGTATAAACTATGGTGGAGTAAGAGGTCATAGGAAGCTAAATGGTCCTTCTGTTCTTTAGCTTGCAAATGGCAAAGTTCATATAAAACATTTCAGATTATGATTTGAACCACAGAACACTTTAAACCTCACTGCAGTCCATAGTAAGTGATTTTGGGCTTTGGGCTGTTAAAGTTCTGATGTTTCTGAGCTGTTAGCTATTGTAGGAGTGAACTGCTTCAACTTCACATTGCTGATATTAAATTTAATTTTCCATGTTTAACGTTTGAAATGTTGACTTTTTTTTTTGTTGTTATTTTAGATTTTATTTTTTTGTAAAATAATTGTGTTTTCTGCTACTTATCTGAGACTGTGTTAAAAAGGCAACAGCTTAAGTCCAAAGGCTCTTCCTCTCTTTTCTTTTCCAGTTCATCCAGACGGACTGAGACCTCAGGCCAGCTTGAGATGTATTATTTTTACAACAACTTCTAGGTCTGCTCTGAGGTTTCTGCCCATGTCCCAAACACCTCCTTCTGAACATGTCCAGAAGGCTCCAACCAGCTGGCTCCTTTCAATGCAGAGGAGCAGCACATTTACTCCTCGCTCCTTTCAAACAGTTGAGGACATCATTTTATTCCTAATGATGAGTCCAGGTGCTCTGCAGAAGAAATTCTTTTCAGTCTCCTGTATTTGTGATCCCATTCTTTCAGACACTAACCATAGCCTGAGGACTGGATCATATAT